TATTTATTTTTTCAAATTGACAGCAATTAAAATATATGCTATACAGAAGTGCTTCCCTATAACATATTGATATGCATACATACTAAACATATCTCAATATATGTATGTATTTGGCTTTATATAATAATAACTTCTATTATGCTGAGAAAAAAGGTTTCACCTCTCTATATATCACACACATCAGTATAAAATATGAATATACATATCTAAAATAAAAATATATGTGCAACAACTAATGACACCTAAAAGACCGCAATATTTACTCTCTGCTCGCATTAATATGTGTTAAGTCGCTCCCATTGTACTTGTCGCTCCAATTGGAATCGATTGAGTTTTCCAATTGAATAGACCCTAGGCCGTTCTGGCTATATTTTAACGAGTGCTAAATGACTCAAGTGCTGCTGTTGTCCAGTGGTCGCTGATGTTGACTATTTGCAGCCACCGATGGGAGTTGGAATGCTCCTCCTTCTCCTTCTCCTTCTCCGCCTGCCGCCTAACCATTCACCTTGGTAGCATGTGCCACTCGGCGCTCATTCAAGTTCCATTTAGCCTTTATGTTTCGGTGTCGGAGCCGTCGGTCGGTGTCGATGGCGGCAATGCCATTGCCATTGCCCCAGCTTTGGGATGTTCGAGCACGCACAAACAGTCACACACACACACACACACACATTCACGAACTCAAGGCCTAGGGGATATAAATGGTGAGCGGGACAAGGGTTTGTTTTTTGTGATTTCCAACATGCCAGCAGGCATTCACATGAAACTATGCAGTAAAAGTAGCGCCAATGTGTGAGTGTCTGTGTGTGTGTGCGCATATGTGTGTATATGTGTTACATATATCTCTGTGCGAGTGCATCGTAAACATGTCGCCGTGTTATATTAGGATTTCGAGCAGCGAATATGAAAATCGCTGCCAATGCTAATGTCGCAGCTGCTTTCGTTGTTGTTGTTGCTCGACAGTGGACAAAAATACGGGTAACAGGTAACAGGTAACAGGTAAGAGGCACCAGGCAACAGCCAGCAATCAGAGGTTCAGCTGGCTCACTCGATTCGGTTGATGGGCTCAAGTGTGCTCCGGCTTATTGAGCTACCGGCTTTGTTAGCCTGCCAATAGGCAGAGGACAAGCTGCTTCGCAAACAAACTTGGCATAAATAACCCTCAGAGCAACTGCAATAAAATACGCTGTCTCTCCCCCTCTCTCTCTCGCTCTCTCTGTGAACTATTTCAATTGTTTATTCAAACTAGTTCCATGACACCAAAAACTTGCGAAGCAGTTCTCCGTTATGGGCTGGCATTTTGCACAATAATTTGGAAGCTTACGTGATTGAATGCTTTGATTAATAAAGTGATTCGAGTTCGCAGAGGAAGAAATTCAAATGAACTGGCTCACAGTTGCGTATAGAAAAGGGTGGGCACTTCTTCTTGTGCGTAATTGAGAATTCATAAAGGATTTCTTTAGAGCAAGTAAAAATGCGACTGTTTGCCTATATTGTCAGAACTAGTTCCGCTTGCTAGTTCCAAGCTCATCTGTGAAGTTTCGAAAATCAGTTCAAAGCTCACTAATGAAGTTTTGAAAACTAGTTCCAGCAGCCCTAATGCTACCAAAGCTCATTTGGTGCTTGTTCTGGTTCCAATTGAGCGACAACTATGAAGTCGTTTGAACTAGTTTCAACAGTCAAAACCAATCTAAGCTTAGTAAGTTCAGGGGACTAGACTAGACTAGTTCCACCTGATTAAATACTGGCTGGGCTCAATAGGTGTTCTTTTGAACTAGTTGCTGCTGCCTATTTAAAACAGTCTATCTACGCTTATTGGAGAATGCTTTAACTTTCTAGCTAGTAATAGTACTTCTAGTTTCTAGCTTCACCTGATTTCTTTCAGCTCTTCAGAACTAGTTCCGACAGACAAAGTAGAATCACAGCGCCTTTTCGATTTATTAACAACAATCAACGATTGGCAAAGCACGCGACTAGTTCATTTTAGACTCTGGTCGTCTGAAACTAGTTCCATCAGTTCCAAAACGTGCCACGCTTTACCCTTACCCTACCCAAGCAATTCCAAACGCAATATTCAAAAAATCACTTATGCTACATTTGGAAATCTGATCTGATTTGATCTGTCTGTCCGTCTGTGTGTGCGAGTGTGTGTGTGTGTGTGTGTGAGTGTGTGTAAGTGTGTGTCTGACTGACTGACTGGCAAGACATAAAACACCGTAATTTATGGCACATTTCCAGCTTCACGCCGAGCCGCCTCCGTCGTCGTCGTCTGTTGCGCTCATAAAACGAGCCTCAGCCCGTTTTGGCCAGAACGAGGCAACGGGTCAAAAATGGGGCCAGCGGGCCAAATGGCAATAAAGTGCCAACCGAAATCAATAATGCGCGCGCCTCACAAAATGTGGCAATAAACTTGCAGAATTCGTGCTGAAAAAAAAAAAGAAAAACACACACAAAAAAAGCAAGAAAAATACAAAAAAAAAAGCAACGAAAAGGAGATAAAGCAAAAGAAAATCGCAGAGCTGCAGAGTGCGTCAAATGAGAGATGGAAAACTTAAGAAGAGGAAGAAGCGACCGGAACTGAACTGAACTCAAATCAACTTCAAATTGATTTTGGCTTATTAACAGCGCAGCCCTCCCATGCACCACCCCTCACCCCTCCCCACTTTCGTCACCCCTCCTCCTCCCTGACGCCATAAACTGCACTAAACGGAAAACTTTTGCCTCATTATGCGAGCCCAGCTGACAAGTGTACACCTCACCCCACCCCACCCCCGCCCCCCTCCACACTCCATGACACGCCCCTGCCACGAAACAAATGAAATTTGCTGATTACATTTGTTGTTGCTTTTTATGTTTTATAATCAAATGTAATTTGCATAAATTTACAAATATTCAAATGCAAAAGTTTTCAGCCACCTTCGATGATGACCAGCTCGAGGAAGCAGCTACTGCCATGCGGACAGCACATCTGATCCAGCTGGCTCTCGTTCAGCGTCAGGCAGTGCTGACTGAGCCGACGTCGGCTGCCCAGGCTGCCCAGGCTGCGCAGCTGGCAGAGGGCGCGCAGGCCGCACTGGAGCTTGCGATTGATGAAGCCCAGGCTGGCATGGACGGGCTGCCGTGTGGCCGGCGCCAGCAGCCAGAAGAGATAGACGATGTGGTCCCGTCTGGGATGGCCGTTGTCCAGCTCCGGGCACTCGGCCACCAGGGCCGCCCACGTGCTCTTCCGAACCATCGCCAGCACCGGCAGGCAGGCGGCCAGCGCGGATTGGCCGAACTGCAGATGGCGCTGCGGCTCGAACAGACAGCGCTGAGCGCTGCCCGTCCAGTTGAGCACGCCCAGGCACTGATCCTGCCCCACTGGCAGCTGCCAGTGCACCAGCAGCAGCAGCGTCCGCTCCCCCGTGTCCACCCTGCGCATGCGCAGCGCGAGCTCCATGGGCTTGCGCGGCGTCTCCGTCAGGTGCTCGTTGAACAGGTGCACCAGCAGCTCACTCTCTGCCAGCAGAGCCCCACAGCCGGGCAGTGGACTGCTCCTGCTCACACTGCTGCCCACCTCCACTTTCCCCACTCTTTCCATTTTCCTGAAATATTTTGGGCATGACTTCTTATTGTTATTAATATTA